CTGTGCCAAAAAAGGAGGACAGATTAGTCAAGACAATAGAATCATAGAATCATAGATTCAAAGAGTTGGAAGAGACCTCATGGGCCATCCAGTCCAACCCCATTCTGCCAAGAAGCAGGAATATTGCATTCAAATCACCCCTGACAGGTGGCCATCCAGCCTCTGTTTAAAAGCTTCCAAAGAAGGAGCCTCCACCAAACTCCGGGACAGAGAGTTCCACTGCTGAACGGCTCTCACAGTCAGGAAGTTCTTCCTCATGTTCAGATGGAATCTCCTCTCTTGTAGTTTGAAGCCATTGTTCTGCGTCCTAGTCTCCAAGGAAGCAGAAAACAAGCTTGCTCCCCCCTCCCTGTGGCTTCCTCTCACATATTTATACATGGCTATCATATCTCCTCTCAGCCTTCTCTTCTTCAGGCTAAACATGCCCAGCTCCTTAAGCCGCTCCTCATAGGGCTTGTTCTCCAGACCTTTTATCACTTTAGTCGCTCTCCTCTGGACACATTCCAGCTTGTCAATACAATTCCAGTTGTAGGATCTTCAAGGCAAGGGCTTCCTTTTGGTCCCACCTTCCAGACAGATATGTTTGTTGATGAGACATAAAATCATAGAATGCTTAAGTTGGAAGAAACCCCAAGGGCCATCTAGTCTTTCTACCATGCAGGATGATATATTCATGGCCATTCAGTATCCATTCCATGAGCCAACAATGTGATGTGGCGGCAAAAAAAGCCAATGGGATTTTGGGCTTCATCAATAGGAGCATAGTGTCTAGATCTAGGGAAGTCATGCTCCCCATGCTCTATTCTGCCTTGGCTAGACCACACCTGGAATATTGTGTCCAATTCTGGGCACCACAATTCAAGAGAGATATTGACAAGCTGGAATGTGTGCAGAGGAGGGCAACTAAAATGATCAAGGGTCTGGAGAACAAGCCCTATGAGGAGCGGCTTAAGGAGCTGGGCATGTTTAGCCTGAAGAAGAGAAGGATAAGAGGAGATATGATAAGGTAAAGATAAAGGTAGTCCCCTGGCATTAAGTCCAGTCATGTCTGCCTCTGGAGTGTGGGGCTCATCTCCATTTCTAAGCCGAAGAGCCAGCGTTGTCCGTAGACACCTCCAAGGTCATGTGGCTGGCATGACTGCATGGAGCGCCGTGACTGCATGGAGATATGATAGCCATGTATAAATATGTGAGAGGAAGCCACAGGGAGGAGGGAGCAAGCTTGTTTTCTGCTTCCTTGGAGACTAGGACACAAAACAATGGCTTCAAACTACATGAGAGGAGATTCCATCTGAACATGAGGAAGAACTTCCTTACTGTGAGAGCCGTTCAGCAGTGGAACTCTCTGCTCCGGAGTGTGGTGGAGGCTCCTTCTTTGGAAGCTTTTAAACAGAGGCTGGATGGCCATCTGTCAGGGGTGATTTGAATGCAATATTCCTGCTTCTTGGCAGGGGGTTGGACTGGATGGCCCTTGAGGTCTCTTCCAAATCTTTGATTCTATGATTCTATTTCAAAGTATAGGATTTTAGCTCAATTTTGTCTTAAATCACTGGAAGTCACCTTGGATCCCTCCCCAAGCGATAGGTGGGGTGTGCATTCAATAAATGAATACAACCAGCCGACAGTTCAGGCACAGCTCATTACTAATTTTAATTATTTCAATGATTAAACGCAGAGCTAGAAATCAGGTCATTTAGGCAGCCAACAGAACTATATTGAGGGCAGATCTATTAATTCTATCCCAGTTGCACCAGCCATCTGGGGTTCATTAGGTTTCCCCCTCACACACTGTACTAGGATCTGCAGGGGAAATAACTCTGTGGACGATGGGTTCTGACCACTCTGACACTGTTTGCTATAAAACAAGCTCAACTACGCATTATTTATTTGTCGTGTCAGGGCAGCCAGTCAATTGTATTACATTTCTAACAGAACAAAACAAACAAACAGACAAAACACAAAATTTGCAAGTTTGGTAGTTGATTAAATGTCCTTTATTTAATCTGGCCACTTGGAGTGCCTCTGGTGTTGCCGCAAGAAGGTCCTCCATTGTGCATGTGGCAGGGCTCAGGTTGCATTGCAGCAGGTGGTCAGTGGTTTGCTCTTCTCCACACTCGCATGTCGTGGATTCCACTTTGTGGCCCCATTTCTTAAGGTTGGCTCTGCATCTCGTGGTGCCAGAGCGCAGTCTGTTCAGCGCCTTCCAAGTCGCCCAGTCTTCTCTGTGCCCAGGGGGGAGTCTCTCATTTGGTATCAGCCATTGGTTGAGGTTCTGGGTTTGACCCTGCCACTTTTGGACTCTCGCTTGCTGGGTGTTCCAGCGAGTGTCTCTGTAGATCTTAGAAAACTATTTCTAGATTTAAGTCATTGACATGCTGGCTGATACCCAAACAGGGGATGAGCTGGAGATGTCTCTGCCTTGGTCCTTTCACTATTGGCTGCTACTTCCCGGCGGATGTCAGGTGGTGCAATACCGGCTAAGCAGTGTAATTTCTCCAGTGGTGTAGGGCACAGACACCCCGTGATAATGCGGCATGTCTCATTAAGAGCCACATCTACTGTTTTAGTGTGGTGAGATGTGTTCCACACTGGGCATGCATACTCAGCAGCAGAGTAGCATAGCGCAAGGGCAGATGTCTTCACTGTGTCTGGTTGTGATCCCCAGGTTGTGCCAGTCAGCTTTCGTATGATATTGTTTCTAGCACCCACTTTTTCCTTGATGTTCAGGCAGTGCTTCTTGTAGGTCAGAGCACGGTCCAGAGTGACTCCCAGGTATTTGGGTGCGCTGCAATGCTCCAGTGGGATTCCTTCCCAGGTAATCCTCAGAGCTCGGGATGCTTGTCTGTTCTTAAGGTGAAAGGCACATGTCTGTGTTTTAGATGGATTAGGGATCAGCTGGTTTTCCCTATAATTGGCAGTAAGAGCACCTAGAGCTTCGAAGAGCTGTGGAGAGCTTCTGTTCTACCATCTCAAAACTCCCTGCTTGAGCAGTAATGGCACGATCGTCAGCATAGATGAAACCCTCTGTCCCTTCTGGCAGTGGCTGGTCATTTGTGTAAATGTTGAACATAGATGGAACAAGCACGCTCCCCTGGAACTCAACAAAAAAGCTCCTGTTTTGTAGCAGGTTTCCTATGAGGTGGGTGAGGTGGTAGTCCTACGCATGAAGCTTGTTGAGTTCAAGGGCCAGAAAAGCAGATGGCAAAAATAGAAGAACGGCCTAACTCAGGGAAGCGTGTTTGATCCATCAATGTTTAACATTTACTCAAATGATCAGCCACTGTCAGAAGGAACAGAGAGTTCCATCTATGCTGACGATTGCACCATCACTGCTCAAGCAGGGCACTTTGAAATGGTTGAACAGAAGCTCTCTGAAGCTTTAGGTGCTCTTACTGCCTTTTCAGGAAAACCGGCTGATTCCTAATTCATCTAATATGCAGACGTATGCTTTTCATCTCAAGAACAGACAAGCATCTCGAAGACTGAGGATGACCTGGGAAGAAATCCCACTGGAGCATTGCGACACACCCAAACACCTGGGAGTCACTCTGGACCATGTTCCGACTTATAAAAAGCACAACTTGAATATCAAGCAAAAATTGGGTGCCAGAAATAATATCATACGAAAGTTGACTGGCACAACCTGAGGATCACAACCATACACAGTGAAGACATCTGCCCTTGCGCTTTTCTACTCTGCTGCTGAAAATGCATGCCCAGTGTGGAATACATCTCACCAGGTTAAAACAGTGGACGTGGCTCTTAATGAGACAGGCCGCATTATCACAAGATGTCTACGCCCAACACAACTGGAGAAATGATACTGTTTAGCTGGTTTTGCACCACCTGACATCCATCAAGAAGTAGCAGCCGGTAATGAAAGGACCCAGGCAGTGACCTCTCCGGCCATCCTCTGTTCGGATATCAGCCAGCATGCCAATGCCTTAAATCAAGATATAGCTTCCTAAGATCTACAGAAATACTTGCAGGAACTCCTAAGCAAGCAAGAGTTCAAAAGTGGCAGGCTAAAACCCAGCACCTCAATCCGTGGCTGATACCAGATGAGAGACTCCCCCCTGGGCACACAGAAAACTGGGCGACTTGGAAGGCACTGAACAGACTGCACTCTGGCACCACGAGATGCAGAGCCAATCTTAAGAAATGGGGCTACAAAGTTGAATCTACGACATGCGAGTGCGGAGAAGAACAAACCACTGACCACCTGCGCAAGGCAACCTGAGCCCTGCCACATGCACAATGGAGGACCTTCTTACGGTAACACCAGAGGCACTCCAAGTGGCCAGATACTGATCAAAGGACATTTAATCAGATACCAAGTTTGCAAAAATCTGTGTCTTTTTGTTTTGTTCTGTTAGAAATGTAATACAATGGTATGGTTGCTGATGACATGATAAATAAATACCTCCCCCTCTTCCTCTGCTGAGTTAATTCAGTGCCCTTTAAACTTCGTTTGCAGCCATTCAAGTAAGTTAAGGGCAAAGGCGGAAGGAGGAGAGAGAAACTGGGACATTGCAAAGGCAGCCAGTAAAGTGGGACAACAGAGGCCTAACTGGCCAAAAGAGGTTACTCAAAGGATATGTTGGTGGTGGCAACCACTTTCTATTCAGCAAATGAGCAGAGATGTCAATGCTGTTTCCTTCCGCGGATGTAAAAGAGAATCACTGCATCGCATGACAGCAAAACACAAAGGGTCGCTTCTTCTCCCGCAAGCGGTTGCCTTCACACACACACATGAAGATACCAAAATAAATCTGGGTCACACATGGCCAGTGGAATAGATCTGGGTCACATCCCATCTCCATTGTGGTTTGGGGGTAATGACAACATCCGCAGTGTGACTCCCGCATGACATATTTTCAGGAAAAATAGCCCAACTGGAGCTCCAACGGAAAAAAGACTGCCATCGCCAGCTTGCTTTTGCATCAACTGCCCTGGTTTAGCAAACAGAGTTTGGGGTCAGAACCAGAAGCAGTTTTGGG